TATTCAATATGATCGTATCATATTAAAATTGTATAACTTACCTTATATTGCAGATACTCGTTAGCTGCCTTCAGTATTTCCTCCTATGCCATCAAGTAATTGGTTTAGTTTTACAATAAATTATGTCCTGTTTGAGCCCCATTTTTTTCAAAACTTATGTTCAACCACACATTCTCCTATAAAATAATTTTACATGTAAATCCAAAACTTTTTTCTTATTTTTTTAATACACATTCTTAAAAAAATCATTGTTTCAATATATAATTCCCCCCAGAAAATGGGACTCTAACAAGGGCTATATAAACTTCACAACAAACACAAAAAAGTAATGTAATTGACTAATTGTTTAGGTCAATTATGTATTGAATTCTTTTATTAACATTCTAAATCAAAATATCCTACATTTCAAAATACAAAGGATTTTCTCTATCTAATAAAAGGTGACACTGCAAATGCAAACAATCAGGTGTCATCTCAATTTACGGTCTAACCTTGTTCTTCAGCAACTGGATTTCTTGAAACATAATATCCATCTGGATAAAAATATGATGGCTTTAAAGGTAACAAAGAATCGATGATGATAAAATTGTAATTGATAAAATATATTTGTACTAAAATGTTTTTAACTAACATAAACATTTTAGATTACCTTTGCTGAGCGAACATGGCACATCCATAATTCAAGATGTTTCTCAAGAACATTCATTTCATCCAAGGTCATTGAATCATTTCCTCCTCCAAATATGAATCTAAAAAAAGTTTTAAATTATATTCCTGTTTAGATTTAAAGTATTACGATTATCTCAAAAAGGAAATATATATATATATATATATATATATATATATATATATCACACACACACACACACCTTATCCCTTTCTGGAGAACATCAATCTCAAGCTTCAACTTGCTAATCTCATCTTTAAGATCCTAGAAGAAAGTAGATGACAATTAGCTCTTTTCCCCCTTGAAAAAACCTCATTTTAATAATTAAATACAGCTGATGATCGATATTAAACACAATCTCGTTTAATATTTTTTTAGTTATTCTGTAAATTGAGGCACGTGATCCTCTCAATTCATATCGTGCTAGCAGTAAAAAGTTAATTTACAAATATGTAACTTTTGCATACCACGTGCATGTTTGGCCAAGCTTAAACCAATTCCTTCGAATAATTAAAACTGAGAATAAGTTATCTATTTCAAAAGTAACCTTAGCTTACTGGCAAAATATTACATGGAAAAAGTAATTTATTCAATCACGCTCTCAAAATACAAATTAAATTATTTAAATAATTAACTTTAAGTTACTTTTAAGCTAATGCAAACATATTTCACTTTGCTTTTTTGTTTATTTTCTCTTTCTTTCTGTTTAATTATGCATTGTGGAAGATCGATAGTTTTCTAGTCAGAAAGCCAAAAAAGGGGAAGTGGAGGTAGCATGTGAGATATATTTAGGTAATATATTATATAAATACCATATTTTTTCGAAGTGATTGGTAAAGAAGCTTAGCTAGCTAGTGAATATTGAATAACACCTTGTGATTTTATAAAGCAAGATGCCCATGGAGTTTTGTCTCCAAAAAGTAGGTATCAGAATTCAATAATTTTGGTCAGCTTTCTTGCACAATTGTTAACAAATATCCTCATCAAGCAATACTTAAAAATTAAATAGCATCAGATTCTCTATCATGAAAGAATTTCATGCACTTTTTGCATAAATGTATCGTATTCATTTATTCGAATCTATTTCTACTATTCAAGTTGCAGAAAAATATCTTGTTTGTGATTATTGACGACCCAATCACAGAAAAAATAGACTACTAGTACTTGCCGCAAACTTGATATAGGGTAACGAGAGATATGTGATTCAAGGGAAGATAGACGTTAAACGAGAGATATGTTACTTACCACAACTTCCTTATCTTTGACAACTTGTTCAGCTTGAGTTCCCCGGTTATTTTTCATGTATCTCTCTATCAAACCTTGCATGGCTCTTCCATGATATAAGACATAAAAGAGAATTAGTTAGAATGTAAAACCCTAAAAGAAAATACTTTCAGTATTAATGAAAATTTGAAGTACCCTTTGCTGGCTTGTTCAAAGATCTTTCCGTGGGCTGAAAAAATGATAACACCAATTTCAGCATCACACAACACAGAGAGCTCCTTAGCCTTCTTGAGGAGCCCTGCACGCCGCTTGCAGAAAGTCACCTGCCTGTGCACCGGATTCTCAATCCTCTTCATCTGAATCTTTCCACGAGCCATTGATAGTAATTTCGATTCGATTAATTAAGATTTCTACTTGATTAATTAAGTATTTTGACTAAGATTGCTGCCTTGCAGACAACCTCCCACTAGTTTGAACTAGCTTCGAGGTTGTTGCTGTCTCTCCCTCCTAAAAAATCTACTTAAACACAGTTATTTTCTAGGATATAGAGCTAGCAACCTTATATATACATCCTCAAATTTTCTTGTTTTTTGGTCGCATAAAATATCCAAAAAGCACCATGATTGGAAGTTTGGAACCCACCACACCTTTAAACCTTTACACATCACTCAGAATATTTTTTAGATTCTAGGAAATGAGATTTTACAGCATATAGCACTGCGCGACCTACCAATGACCTTAAAAGAAGGTGGATTTTGTTACCTAACGACAACGCATATCGTTTTATTCTTGAAAAGACTATTATACCCTAGAACCATTACATGGCAGCAAGTAATTGGTTGGATGGACCGGGTACACGGATGCAGCGCTAGCCACTCTCACTTTCACTTGCTTCTTGTTCTTAATTTGAAGATTAGGTTGTGTACAACAGTTCAGATTAATCTAGTCAGCATGCTATTGCTTGTCATGTGCAAATTCCTACTCTTGTCGGACAAATGAGCTGCCCTTGTTTGAACTGCTTTTTCATTAACACTTTTTTCACCTTACTATCTTACCCTTCTTTTCACCTTACTATCTTACCCTTCGAGTAATGCTGTCTATAACACCTATGTAGAATGCCTATTTCTTAAAACCATTGGTACTCAGTAGCATTATTCTTTACCATTCTAGCTTTGTCGAGTAGGATATCACATAACTGACCCACATTTGGGTCCTTATAAGCATGTCTGTTCACTTACTTTTAAAAAAAATAAATAAATATTGCTATTAGTTTTAAAAGACAAGTTTGATGAAATAACATAAGACTATACTTTTTAACACATAACACAATTGATGAGCCCCTATTTGGTAGGGATTAAAATAAATTAAAGTTAACAATTAATTTTAACCACATATTTCATCAACTTTCATTAAAATTTACTAAAAATTTAATTTTAATCCCACCAAACATGTGTGAAGTGTAAATATACACTTATGCGAACCCTTTAACCACGACTTTCCATTATCATTTCAATTGTTTGAGAGTCAATTTATATAAATCTTGGTTTGTTTTGGTGATTGTGAAGCCATATCCCCAATTTGAGTGGCACTGGTGAAATCGGTGAGAGAATGAAAGTTGATAATTTGAGTTGACAATCAAGAGCCGAGCATTAGATGATGAGAAAGGAGAGGAAATTTGGCAGAAACAAGGTTAAGTTTGGAGGTGTTTCACGGTCTAAATAGTCAATTCTTGTGGTACTGTTAGTATTGGTTAGATGACAATAGAATTTTGACATCAACAAGAATTGTTTTACACACCGTCTATATGCGAGAGAGGAATGGTGATACTATATGATGAAAAACCATCTAAAAAGTATCTAAACCTATTAAACTAAAAATAAGAATAAGTAATTGGGTAATATATTATCACCACAACAATTAAAACACGTTTTCAATAAATACACAACAATAGATTACAATTATAACCATAACCAAATAAATTTTTTAAAATAAACTATTACACTATTGTGTAGTGTATATAGCAAGACTCACGACCCAATATTACCCCTAATTTTCCTCTCTTTCTCCACACATTCTTCCCCACCAATTTTCTTTGCATGTAATTACTGGAGTTATCATGCCAGCACCCATAGCAATATTTATATTTAGGGATTCGTTACGTGGGCAGTAGTAATACATTGGCAGAAATGCATAAATTCTAAAGCTTTGGTTTCAAAATGAAAACGACAAGAGAAATAACTGCTTTCAGAGATGGCAAGAGCTTTGTAATTATCGACTTTCTCATAAGGTATCGGAATAATAGATTAATCCTCCAACACATTACCTGGCTTCTCTATTGCAGCCGACGTAGATGGCGGCTCTGGTGTAGAAGATCAGCAGTCACATTCTCTTCCCTACTCCAATATCAGGCTAATATCAGTACACGCTTTCCCTAGAAAGCAAGAAATATGTGTCATTTTGCAGCCGGCTGATCAACGTCAGCGACTTTCTCTGTGTTTGACAAATTGATGGCCGACATTACTCGAAGCTTGGATTCAAAGAACAGGGACAATACCCAAAATCTCAACGTATTAGGCTTGACTTCCGTGCGAAGTAGTTAGTGTCTCCCTTTTGCAACCAGGTACCTGCGTTAGTATGGTTTACACCCAATCAATATTTTGGATGGATTCTCCGAACCCTTTCCCTCTTTTGGATTCAAGCATATATTGTTGGGAATTAATTCAAATTCGGGTTTCGTTTTGACTTGGTGTTTTTTTTGTTGCTATTATTTAGGAAGTAAGTTGAATCTTTATGTTCTAGATTTGAGGATAATCTTTTCTAGACAGATCATGCCCACTAAGTATTTGTTGTTATGTGCCAATAAGTTTGGTAGAAATATTAGGGAGTAGTAGCCATGTTTTGTAAATGCAAATGTTGAATGCCTATTTAAACACTTGGAGTCTTGAAACAGAGGTTGAATTTCAGTCAATAAAGAATTCTCTTCATAATATTTTCTTCTATTCTTTTTGCTGAGATTTCTGCACTATCAAATCCTGTATCAAAGCAAGTTCAGAGAATTAAAGTTGTGAGTGATCAAGCACATCCACTTGTAAATGGCGTCTACTAGTGTCACACCAAACTCATCTCAGAATATCCCTGTCTTTACTGGACTTAACTACCAGTGTTGGCGTATCAAGATGAGGACTCTATTTCTGTCCTATGATTTATGGGACCTGGTTGACAATGGTTTTGATGATCTTGCAGATGCAGAGAGGCTAACTGCTGCTCAACGTAATGAGTTGAAAGAAAAGCAAAAGAAGGATGCCAAAGCTCTAGTCTTAATTCAGCAAGAACTAGATGATGCCATTTTTCCACGAGTTATGGTTGCCACAACATCGAAAGAAGCATGGGATTTACTTGAAAAAGAGTATCAAGGAATAAACAAAGTGGTTACTATAAAGTTGCAAACCATGCGTTGAGAATTCGAGAATTTTGCATATTAAGCCATCAGAATCAGTTCAAGAATTCTTTTCAAGAGTTTACTCAGTGATGAATCAGATTAAATCTCTCGAAGAAGAATTGACAGACCAAAAGGTTGTTGAGAGAGTTTTACGATGCCTTCCTCCCAAATTTGATTATGTAGTTGCTGTAATAGAAGAATCGAAGGATTTATCCAATTATTCTCTGAATGAATTAATGGGGTCACTTCAAGCACATGAGCAGCGCATTAACAGAATGGTAGAGACCCCTATTTAGCAAGCCTTTCAATCAAAACTTGATTTGAAGGAGAAATTAGATGAGTCAAGTCAATGAAACTCTAGTTGAGGTCGTGGGAGATCATCTCGTGGAAGTGGAAGAGGAAGAGGAAGAGGAAGAGGCAGAGGCAGAGGCAGAGGCAGAGGCAGGAGCAATGGTCAACAAAGGAACTCAAATGGAGGTATCAATTCCAATTCTTGGTCATATTGTGGAAGATCAAACCATGAGGATAAAAATTGTTGGTATAAGGAGAAGTATTGCCAAAAAAAAAAAAAAGCTCCCCAATGCTATTATTGCAAAGAATATGGTCATATTGAGAAAAATTGTTTTGAAAAGGCTGCAAACAATACCAATTCCTAGGAAGAAAAAAATGGTTTTGATGAAAATTTGTTTCTTGCTTACACATTTGCTCATGGTGATAAGTATGAGGATTTTTGGTATCTTGATAGTAGCTGTAGCAATCACATGACTGGCAACAAACAATTCTTTGTGGAGATTGATAAATTCATGAAGATAAAAGTCAGGATGGGCAACAACAATCAAGTTCTGGTACGTGGAATGGGTACGATTGTTGTGATGTCAAAGTTTGGAAAGAAATTGTTGCTTGATGTTATGTATGTACCTGGATTAGCTCATAACCTGATTAGTGTTGGCCAGTTAGTGAAAAAGGGCTATTATGTTGTGTTTGATGTTAATGAATGCTTGATATTTGATAAAAGGATCATGCAACTAATCTATTCAGCTAAAATGGGAGAAGATAAGATGTTTCCTATTGTGTTTTCAGAAGTTCCTATCAATGCCTTTGCTGCAGCTACTGATGATTCTTTTCTGTGGCATCAAAGATTTGGTCACCTTAACTTTAGAGGATTATGCAAAAAGAATATGGTGAAGGGTCTTCCCATGATTAGAGATGAAAGGCAAAATTGTGAAGCCTGTATTTTTTGAAAGCATTCTTGAAAGACATTTCCCAGAGGAAAATTGTGGAGAGCTCCAAAGCCATTGATGTTGGTGCATGCAGATGTTTGTGGGCCAATGCAAACACTCTCCTTGGGTGGAAGTAAGTTCTTTCTGATTTTTGTTGATGATTTCTCAAGAATGACATGGGTGTATTTTCTGAAAGAGAAGTCAGAAGTTTTTGAATGTTTCAAACAATTCAAAACAATGGTTGAAAAGGAAAAAGGCTATCCTTTATTGACACTACGCACCGATCATGGTGGCGAGTTCACTTCCACATAATTTAATAATTTTTGCAGTTATAATGGCATCTAAAGGCAACTTATAGCAAGCTATACTCCACAGCAAAATGGAGTCGCCGAGCAAAAAAACAGAACCATAGTTGAAGCTGCTAGAAGTATGTTGAAAGAAAAAAAACTTCCTAACAAATTCTGGGCAGAAGCTATCGGAGTTGCAGTATACCTTGTCAATAGATTTCCAACTCAAGCGGTTGAAGAAATGACTCCTTATGAAGCTTGGTATGAATACAAACCTACTGTAAGTCACTTAAAGACAATTGGTTGTGTTGCCTATGCTTTTGTGCCTGCTGAATTGAGAAGGAAATTGGATGATAAAAGCATCAAATGTATTTTTGTGGGATATAGTAAAGAAACTAAAGGCCACAGGCTTTATGATCCTATTTCAGAAAGGTTAATTATGAGCCGTGATGTAATTTTCAATGAAAATGATGCTTGGATTTGGGAAGATGTTTCTTTTCAGCCTACACATGTAGTGGATATAGCTGATTTTGAATTGAATAACCTACAAGAATCTCCTATATCATCCCTAGAATCAACACCAAGAAGAATAAGAAGTCT